GTTAGAATAGTTGCTCTTTTTATCCTCTGTGCAGATGAAATTGATTAAACCTTAAAAACTCGCCTCAGTCCACCCGGTTTATTAATTGAAGAATTTCCTCTTCCCCAGAATGGGAAGTGCACATTAGAACAGAGCTTTGCCCCTGAGTAGCAATGATACTTGAGAACAGCACATTTTCTACAATCCGATTTTCTCTTCAGCACTAGAGGAAACCCTAACATGGTAAAAGCATATTGGGGGGGAAAAAAAAAAAAAAGGAAGTCCTCTTTCATTTCCTTGTAAAGCATGAAATCAAATTATAGCCCGTGGCCCACAATTATTTTATTTTTACATTTCAAATTCCGCTTTCTGCTTCCTTTCGGTGTCTGCAAACATGAGTTGGACTGCTGGTGCAAAGTCAGCTAAAGAGATGACGACAAATGGAGAAGGACGCAGTAGCTTAAAGAAGCCCCGAGTCAGCTGTGCTCAGGTTTGGTGCCCACGTGCACATGGGACCCTGTGCTGGCTCACACTGGAACCCCTTCTATCCTGCTCTGCACTGCCTGGGTCTGACTGCAGTCCATTTGGCTTTGTAGGGATAGATTATGGGGAATCTAATGTAGTACTGAGCTTCTGCTTGCTGAAGTAGTAGTGGTTTTAAATACTCTAATATTCTTAATCTGCATTTGTTGAGAAAAAACCATTCAAACTGTCCCAAATGTCTTCAGGTTTTTCTTTTTCAGCAATACTAAAATTGCCAGTTTAGTGCTTGCGATTTATAACTAAATGTGGGTGTAGTGTGCACATATAGAGGAGGTAATTGACAGTGTTGTCTTTATTTATTCCCCCCACCCTCACCCCTTAGGCTTAAAAATGCCTTTGTTAATTTGCTGGGAATGTGCTGTAGGGCTCCATCTCCATGCAGCTCAATACTGGAGCTCAGGTATACAGGTAACATACAGGTGTGTGCAGCAGGTTGCACTGACAGGAAGGTTTTTGAGTTCCTGAACTTGCAAAGTTGCTACGGCTTCTATGACAGAGGCTGAAAGGGATTTGCCATGTAAGATGTGATATTCTGTGCCAAAATAAACACAGCAATTACAGTGCTTTGCAGTTTATAAAAAGTACAGTCTATGGATTGGGTACTCCTGTGATGTTTTCCTGTGAATATGGTATGACAGATCTGGTTTTAATACTTTTTGGTTTTGGCTTTCTGAAACAATAAGCCATTCACATTGTGAAAGCCTACTCAGGAGCCCACTGTGCCAGACAGGAACGCAGCCTGATGTGGGGCTTGCCTGCGGTCCCACTGGCAGCATGGATCCTATTTGATGTGCAAGCAGTGGCAGTAAGGAGTTACTTCCTTGATGATGATCACTGTCAGATATTCCCCAAAATTCAGAAGCCAGACTGGATTGGACTTGAGTATTCGAAGCTAGGGGAGACATTTTCTTTCTCTTCTCTGAAAATATTTTGTTAACCTCTTAGTTGTGTGATTCTTGTCAGTGTTGTGGTACAGATGGGTGCTGGTGCCCCCGAGTCCAGCTGGCACAGCTCTTGCAAGCTGTTCTCTGGTGCGGTGCTGCCAGCCTTGTTGCTTGTCCCCATATCTGGCTGTCACCCAAACTTCCTCTGTTTGTGTTATCTTTGTGTTTGTTTTCCTTCACTCAGCAGACCATCTACTTCTTTACTTTGTTTTTCCACTGTGGTTTCTTATTGTGCAATATAATTCCCATCTTTCCTTCTCCCTTGTGTTTTCTGGTGACAACTAGTTTGTTTCACTTCCTTCTTGCAGGGCTGTAGCTGAGTGCTGTCATCACAAGAAGGATACCCTGATGGTGGATGGTTTTCAAACTAAGTGAGAAATCATACTTCATGAGAACTGTCTTCCTTAATGCTCTTCAACACCACTTTCATAGATGAGACAAGTCTGGTTTTTTTTTTCCTTTAGGGAGGTCATTTGAATACCTTAATTCAGCTGAATTGTAGATTTTATGTCACCTACTTCAGTGCAATGAAGTTTTTCTTATTGCTCTGCTTCCTTGTATGTAGACTCATCCTTTGCATGCGTCTCTCCTTCATTCAGGTTTATTTCCAGTCCTGCTTGCCTGCTTTGAGGGTTCAGTATGGAAGCAATGACTGTTCCTCATCTTGACAGCATAGGATGATATTCTGTCCTGCTATGAGAGAAAATGTGCTTCATTTCCTTATAGTTCCATTTGACACAGAACCCATGGCAGGCCTTCTGTGGTCAGTGCAGGTTTATGGCGTGATATCATCACCTTGTTTTATTCTTCTTGGTTGTGGAGCCTCTACTTGGTATGGCTGTAATATTTTTAAACTTCAATTAAAAGGTCATTCCAAGTCAGATTGTATGCACAACAGCACATTTATATAATCCATTCTTACTGTAGCTTTCTTAGCTCAATCTCCTTCTGCTGTAGAAATATTCTTCAGGAGCGTTGTTCCTTTTGTTGACCACAATCCAACATGGTGGTAAGTTGATTTAATAGTCTGAAAGAGAACTTCATATTTGCAATTTAAATAAAACATATTGTAGGCGTCTCCTATGATTATTTACATACTAAAGGAAAAGCTGTTCTGAATGAGATGTTTGATGCGCTGGAGAGGTTATGTGTGTGTGAGGCTGTGGTTTAGTCACCTTCCTATAAGTGATTTGTTGACTTTCACCATTAAGGACTTTGCCGCCACGAAACCCCACGTGCTTTGTTTTGATCTCCCTGGGTTACTTCACTTTTAAGTGTTTAATGAACTATTATGCATGGATGAAGGGCAGCTAAGGAAATGGCTTATAGACCAAAACAAAATTCACAATGGCTGTACTAAGCCGTATACTTGCTAGCTTGAGTATGTTGCTGTTTCCTTGACTATAATATGCTTTCATGCAGTGTCTTGATGCATTTTCTGGTGGTTTTGGAGTTTTTCCATGGTCTGTACAGTTATTTTTCCTGTGTTCATCTTTTCTTTGCTGTGAAATGCCCCAAGGTAGACATTCTTGACCCTCTAGCAACAGGGCTGATGAGTTTTGTCGCTCTTTTCAAGTGTTACTAATAGATTCATAAATACAGCAATTACAAGTATTTGCTTTGTAACAAATGTGTTCAAAGCAGTTAATTTAGTGTTTCAAGATAAAGGGGCCCTTGTACTGAAACTGCATGTAACAGCTTCAGTGCAGATTTTGTCTCCTGTTGGAGGGAAGAGATATTGCACCATACATAATGCATCACACGAGCCTCCCTTTGCAGGACCACAATCAGATCTGGTTGCTTTGACTTCATTACAGAGCACAGAGTTCCATGCCCTAGCAGTCAGAAGGCTTAGCTAAAACTTAAGCTGCAATATTGTTATTTCACTGAACGAATGAGCCGTCTTTTTATGGTATTAATGTTATTTAACTTCATGGTTTGATTTTAGTTACTAATTCCCTTTCATTTTTAGAGGTGTCATCTGTGCAGGAAGAATTGCAGTGCGGAGTAGTTTAATACAGAACACGGGCATTAAGTTTTACATACAAAAAACCCAACCCCTGCTGGATGCACTCACAGCAGTGCGTGCATGCTGATTGTTTGGTGTTTTGTTCCACTTGAACAATTTTCATGCTGTTGGTTCCCCTTGTTTGCTGTTCTCCAGCTCTGTGCTTCAGCGTGGCGTGGAACATCCCAGCCTTTCGTGCAGCCCTGGTGAGAACTGTTATAATTTAAGCGAGTTCTAAATTAATAGCATTCTTGAAACAATGAAAATAAAAATACTTTCGAAGAGATAAACTTTATCTTCAGTTTGTCTTGGAGAGTTTTTTGAAATGGCTGCTGAAAAGTTGTGCAGGAGCTTTGCAGATGTCATCGTAAGCCAGCCAGCCCTCTGAGGCATCCATTATTTACATTTAGCATTCATTATTCCAAGATGAAAGCTTTGGTAGGTTGAAAATAGTCATTTGTAACCATAACTTTTTTCTTGTCGTCGTTCCCACCCACTCGTTCACCCATGCACTTCAGCCTCAGAATGATTTCCTATCCCAAGAGTTCATGGGAACTAGAAACAAGGGTAGCTGTTGTGACTGCCATTATAAAGACTGGGAAAAAAATAGAGTGGGTTAGAGAGGGCAAAAGAACAAGGAACCGTCGCATCGATTTCATGTTCTTCTGATCAAAAGCTTGAGACAAATATTAAAAGCACTCATGTTCCAAATGCTGCAGTTTTACATGATTTCTTCTACTACATTTCTTAATGTGTTGGGTGTTTTTGTCTAACATAACTTCCTGATAGTTCAGCTTCACATTTCTTTTTCTGCTTCGTACTTAAACTTTGTTACATTGAAGTTGCAGCTTCGTTTTGGTTGTTCAGAGTGTTTCAGTTCCCTGGATTGAGACAGTCCCTGAATGCTATTAGTGGAAGGCCCAACATTCGCCAAAAGATCCTTGAAAATGAAGTTAAATTCATGAAATTCAAGTTGCTTCAGTCAGAGGTTAAAGAGCTCATGAAAACAATATTTAAAAAACAGTCCATGAGCACAGTTGGTAACACTAGCCTGAAATTTAGGAGTTTTTTCAGGTAGAGCAGATCTAAGAATCTGTTTATGGCTGTGATATGAAATATGCTTTTCACTGATGTAGAAATGAACTGGAAGTGAATGCTGATGTATTGAAGGGTTTAAATCAGCTCTTCTTCATATTGAAAGCTTTTATGAATTTCCTTTGATTTGTAGTAAATCTGACCCTTATATTTAAATACAGTGATAGAGTCCTTGCACTGTTAATGTGGGGAAAGATGTGAACAATCATAGGCTAGAATATTTTTATAATCTGATAGTAGTATATAAGGGCTTACATTCCTTAAGTCCTATTTTCAAACACAGCCAGGCATTCGATGCTTGCATTAATTTGTACTTTGTTCATAATTCTGGGCACGTGTACATGTCCAGACAGTTTTTATGGAACCTATTTGAGAAAATGATCCCAAGCCTCTTTATGCTGCTGCAATTCTGACTGTGAATTCTACTCCAGGTGCCCAGATTATCGATCTGATGATGCTTGTCATCGACGTGACAAAGGGGATGCAGACGCAGTCAGCGGAGTGCTTGGTGATTGGGCAGATTGCCTGCCAGAAGATGGTGGTAGTTCTGAACAAAATAGATCTCCTTCCAGAGGCCAAGAGGCAAAGTGCCATTGAGAAGATGACTAAGAAAATGCAGAAGACCTTGGAAAATACAAAGTAAGTTAACGGTAACATTAACAGTTAACTTGTAACATAAATACTTTAACCACATTTCACTTTCAGCATTTTTCTGAATTCATCTGTCTGGCCCCTGCTAGATGAGTCATAGATGTAGATGAGGAGAAGAGTGGAAAGATTACCAGAAATTCAAACTCAGCCCTGAAGTATCATGTACATAGAAATTTCTTAGTGTGATTAAACTTTTCAGTTTAAAGGACTGCATTGAATTCAGATTGCATAAAACAAAGCCAGAAAGGCTGGATGAAGGAGAACTTTTTCTTAGTTCTAGAGCTTGTAAATTTTGTTGTTTTCCAGAGTTGTTCTTCTGCTCTAATGAAAAGAAAGAATTAGAGCTTTTCCTTAACCCAGGGTGAAAGATGCAATTGCCCTACGTAGGGAAATAAAGGCAGCTTCTACCTGGGACAGATCAGTATGGACAAGAATCTGACTGACAGTGTTCCTGAAGTTTCCTATAATGCAGTGTGACTGGCTGGGTTGGTGTTGCAGTATTTGTGCATAAATTAATTGAGGAAAATAATGAACAGAAAGCAGGGAGATTTGCAATTGAAAATGTGGCTGTTATGAAGTGGGAAGATAAAACAGAAACTCTTACAGTGGTTGCACAATTCAGTGGTTTATACAAATAGAAGCGGAGCTTACTTTGTCCAGGGTCATGAGGGGACATTGTGACTCCAAGGTTTATAGCTTGGAGGTCACATTTTGATTTTGAGAATGGAGGGAATGAAGTGCAGATGAGTCCCACAGGTATGTCTTGAAAATGAGCAGACTGTCAGAACTGAAGGGAAAGTGAGTTTTTGAAATATGGGACATGTTAACTGCGAGGTCCTTTCTGCCATCTCTCTTTTAAAACAAGGATGTACATCGGTTGATAACAACAGCTGTGCTTCCACATGGAGAGAACTGGTCTGTCGTAATGTTTTAATTATTCATTTGAACTCTGGATCTTAGAAATGCTCTTTAATCGGATGCGCCTGTGTATTGTTCCCATAGCTAACATTCCTTTTTTGCAAGAGCAATCTGCGCTTTATGATGCTTTGAAAGCTTTGCTACCCTGGGCTCATTGCAAAGTGCCTGTCGCAGCAAGTTGTTTCTTGACAGCCTCTTTTCCACTCAACTTTAAACTTCCAAATACATGCTTAACTGTTTCTGTATTTCTAAACTACTTTGAACAGCAGGGCTCGTGCTGAGACCATCTGACAGCTGCCTCAGGCCACAGACACTTGTCAATAGGGTGTTTTCCAGGACTAGTTTACTTGCTGATTATTATTATAGGCAGAGGAAAGTAACTTGTGGTAGTTTGAAAATTTTACCTAATCTTGTGATGCTGTAAGTAAATGCAAACTGTGCCTATGAATGGAATTTCTATTTAATTGTAAGTTCTGGCATGTGCTGCCTTGTGTCTTTGTCCAACTGGGTCTAAACGCTGCTGACAAGAAATCCGTGTTGTGGAGTGACAATTTTAGTAGGTCCTAATCATATTTGGAAGTACCTCCAATGTCAGTATATGATTACTTCAGTTTATTCTGGCGTAGGGGAAACGGAGTTCAGCATAAATCTTCATTTATTGTTGTCCTAAAGAATTTCCATGAAAATAAGAGTTCTGAAAGTCTCATTGGTTAATCACAAAAATTTTCAGTGCACGTTTTTCTACCCTTTGTTTCCAGATGCTTCAGAGAAAATATACTGGATTCTTTTTTGCTACTAAATGAGCTCACTGTACAGAACTTAGTGTTTTTACTTTACTGCAGTTCATTCCCTTTTTGAGATGAAATTTATGATTTGGGGTGAAGGAGAATCACAAAACTGACAGCACTCACGACTTCTGATCTGAATCTATTGAATCAGAATCATCTTTCAGAGCCAAGCCATTATTTTTTTTACTGTTGATTATTGTTCCATTACTTTAACAAATATGTATATTTAATGTGGTTAATCCTGAATTTTGAAAAAAATGCAGTAATAACCTGACTGACAATCTGATTTCTCTTTCCAGAATGCAGGCAAAGCAAGCTATCAGATCAGCTGAACTATAGGTTGTGTTCTATGGGGAGCAAATGTCACAAATTCAATCAGCAGACTTTAAAAAAAAAAAATAACAAAGCAGCTGCTGAATATTAAGGGCTTGAAAATAGAATTTATTGCAAGAGAAAAGCTAAAGTGGGGTCAGCTGTACTGCTCTTTTCAGGAGCTTTGCATGTTTGAGATTGTTTTATAAATTTTCATTTCAGTAGAATTGGACTTTTCCACTGTCTGCAAAATCTACAGACTGTCTGCACACTCAGGTAGATATCGTGCCATCTTGCATTTGGCTCCTGTTTGGAAGGTTATGACTGTACAGCCAGAACTGTAATTGTTCTAATGAAAGTTGAAAACTGAGTTAGTCTCCAGGTAAGCTAGATTGAATTCAGAGCCACTATGATAAAACTGGGTAATATGTCCTTGCTTCAGAAATGACGTCTTGCTTTTAGTCTCACTCAAAAATTGAATCTGTGCCTAATGCTGAACAGAGTTAAAGATTTCATGGTGAAGTTCATTAGCACAAATTCCATTAATTAAAAAAAATAAAATAAAATAAAACTGTCCATTATTCACTAAGAGGGAAGAACAGATAAATTAGATTCTGAGACAGTTGCTTTGCCTTCACAATCTGGTTTACAGACATGAGAGATCTGTGGTCTAATGTGGGAGTCTTTCTCTCTTTCAGGTTCTCTGGGTGTCCTATTGTTGCTGTTGCAGCAAAGCCTGGTGGACCGGAAGCTCCAGAGTCTGAGAATCCACTTGGTGTTTCTGAATTAATTGAGGTACCTGCTGAAGAACTCAATGCTGTAAAATACGCTTGAGCATCTTTAAATCTTTTGAAGCAACACTAGGACTGAAGAAGTACTGCCTTAATGTCTGTTTGGTGGGACTTAATTCATCAGGGATTTCTTCCAGTGAGTGGAGGAGTTGCAGATCTGTGCCCCAAAAGTGGATCTACTTTTTTAACTTCGAATTCTTTGAACAGCTGTCTTAAGAAGCCACTGTCACACATGCTGAAGTGTTTTAAAGTTGTCAGGAATTACAAAGCGTAATAAATAAAAATTGCTTTAAAATTCTGCCAAATCATTGCTAGGTGTTATTTTAGAATTACACCGTGTATGGGAATTGCTAAGTCATGAGCTGAACCAATGATTGAGCACCTGAGGAAGGAACACAGCCAGCCCTGAGAGCACAGATGAAAGCAATTCACCTGTAGAACTGGAAAGGGTGGAATCTGGTTCCATCCTCTCCCTAAGCCTCATTTAAGGGCTGGCTGCCTTCAGGGAAGGTTCTCTACCTGAAGGATCCCTCCTTTTGGAGTGTTTGGTAAGCCCTGATACTTGGGATGAGTAAGCAAATCTTTTGTTCTTTAATTAGATTATGACCATCACCTTTTTTTGGTAATTTAGAGCTGGTTATCTGCCATTGCTTTTTCCTACGCACCACAGTTAGGAAAACAGCAAAGTTATGAATTCATGCACTCAGAAATCATGCATAGGTGAATGTCTCCTTCCTTCACACGAGTGCTATGATAGAGGGTTTAAGTGTGTGATTCTTTGTTCTAAACAATTCATGCCTCATTGTGGAGGACAGACAGAACTGAACTCCTGAGGAGACAGTCAGCATTTTGTTTTAATTCTCATTATTCTCTGTGTGGCCTCATAACTCCATTGAAATACTGCTCTGCAGTTAGAATAATTAATTTCCTTCTGGACTTTTCTTTGGCACTCATCAGTGATGATTTGAACACTTGGCAAATAGTTAATTTACTTCCAAAAGTCCTATAGGAAGTGCAGAGGTGACTGATCCTATATTTAGATTGGGATGCTGAGGGACAAAGGAGTTAAGTCCAATAAGTTTACTAACACTGGTTGCCAAATTTAAAGCAGCTAGGAACTCTTCTGGGACGTGCTTGCCAATTTTGATTGCAATTGTGAGTGCTTAGCACTCTGCTTACCAAGGTTTGAGGTTTCCATTTGAACCATCTGAGGTATATAACCGGTGATTACCTGTGGCAAGTTTCATTTGTAGGAACATGACGTATGTGGGGTTTCTGGCATTAGTAGGTGTAGAATCTGTTCTCTAGAGCAGCTCCACCTGCCCTTAGAATGAAACCATCTTTCTCTGTGATGCTGTGACTTGTTTACTGCGTGCCTTGCGCTTCTGCAAAAGATAAAATGTGTGGCTTGGGTTTGTCTGGCAACCGAATGAGATAGAGCCTGGAAAAAGCTGTTTAATGGTGTAACTAGCACTGTATCAAATGCATGTGAACAAGAGAAGGTTGTAAAGTAAGCTAATGCTTCAGAGGTATCATTAGTTCTAGCAGTGCTGAATTTCTATTTTTTGTGAGAATAATTCTTGAGGCTTTCAGAAAAATGGATTATATGGTAAGTTATTTGACATGTAGCTTATGCAGTGAAGGGCAGGATGCTTAGGAGTGCTGTTTAAGGTAGATGAGAGGATCGGCTTGTTGCAGACTTTCATCTCTTCTGTGAATGAACATTGGGAGGTATTAATAGAGCTGGCAAATGCTATGGGGGCCCTGCCATTGAGCTTCAAGGAATTGCCCTTTGTCTCATTGATGAGCTTCCCTCTCCGTTGTTCTGCCATTAAGACTCTGACTTAACCTACAGATTTTGACCTTAAAAACAGACACTAAAAGCAGTGCCAAGTTTATATGTGAATATTGTAACAGAGGCAGAGATCAAAAGTGATTGGAGACAGAGATGAACCAGCTCCTCTGAACCACTGTTAGTGGTGACTGCACTTTTATCGTTAAAGTCTGATATCTATGATGATGTATTTTAAGAAAGTTATTTGTCAGCAAAACAGAAATCCTGAACTTGGAGAATTTCTGTAAAAAATGTTTAGCTATTTTTCTTAGTGGCTTGATCCTCCTTGAAGTGTTAACATAAAATCTGAAAGGGATGTTGACTTAGAGAACTTATCTAAATATAATAGTTTTTCTGGGAGGGAGGCAGGGATGGGGCACTAATATCTTTACATAAGTCAATTTGCACTAAATCAAAAAAGCTGAAGTAGCAGAATACACTATGAACCTGTACTTTGGGACAGGTGGGAAGGGGGAAGACAAGGGTACAGGCTTGTTTTTTTCATTTACTTTGCTGCAGTGTCTATATTGAGTTTGGCAGCAACTTCGTTTCCAGCACAGTTTTGCTAACCAAGCTAATTGTGCAGCACCAAATCTTTCTAAGGCAGAAAATCGAACTGTTCCTGCTGCTAATTGTGCATCTCCTCTATGGCACGCACAATTAATTTGACATTGGTGCGTTCTGAGCTTATTGGGAGATGCTTGAAGTCAGTAAAGCTGCAAGCCTGTTCAATCAATCATCCGCTTGCCTTCCTTTTGCTGTATGGCTGTCATGACTTTTCACCTAGGCATGGTTCTGCTTTTATCTTTTATTCAGGTCCTGAAGTCTCAGGCTTACCTGCCATCGAGAGACCCCTCGGGACACTTCCTTATGGCAGTCGACCACTGCTTCTCTATCAAGGGTCAAGGCACAGTGATGACAGGGACTATTCTTTCTGGCTCTGTTAGCCTTGGTGACAATGTGGAGATTCCTGCCCTGAAGGTGAGTCTCTCACTCCCCTCAATTTTCCTAATAGAAAGAGGTGCTCAACAAAGAAGAGAGTGTTCTCCAATCTGAAATTATTCCATTATTTTTCTGATACTCAAATATAATGAGCTAATAATAGGGAGAGACTTGGAGATTTTTTTTTAGTTAACACAGTTAGTGAAGTCACCTGCTCTATTATAGTTGAATGAAGAAGAAAGAAGGCTGTCTTAGATTAGTGTGTTAGATTTTCAACTTCTGGAAAGCAAAGTGAGCGTATTTCCAAGATGGGACGTGCTGAAGGACGAAACGAAGTTTAAGTGAGGTTACATTTGAGAAATTGTGCATCAATGAGAAGGCTTGCAAAGGAGTCTGACTAGGTGGGCTCCCTGAGATGTGTGCAAGTGAAGGAAATGACAAGAAGAGGGCATCAAAATGCTCGATGCATATTCTCTTTGTTTGCTGGGGAGTTTAATTGATGTCAGCATGTTCTGGAAGTGCTGCTACTTGCTGTAGTTGGGATTTATAAGAGAGCTTGTAGAAAGCTGAGGTCTTTCAGTGGGCTTAGTAACAACAGGTAAGTTGTTTATTTCTAGAGAAGTGAAAAACTAAGTTAGCAGATAAAGGAGTCTTTGACAGAGAAAGACCAGATCATTTGATTCTCATAGCGTTAGCAATTTGCTTCAAAGTTTGTTGTTTTCAGTTGCTGTAAATGAACTTATCCTTCCGCTGCCTTGTGTGAAATAGCAGACGTGCTGTACACTTCAGTGATAATAGTGGTGAGCAGGATTTTGCTTTCAGCCATGAGCAGTTTGTGAATGTGATTGTTCATGGTGTGCAGGTAACCAAGGCACAGTTAAAGGAAGCAACTTTTGTAAGTCTGAACTGTGTGTTGTACTTACCCCTGCTAGCATCATGCAGAGTTAGGTTAGGATACCTACGAAAGGTCAAACCTTTCTCAGGCCTACAACGTAATGGAGGAAGCACATTTCACAACACATTGTGGTTTATGACTCTCTCTGACCTTTTTTTGCCCTGACCCTATGGTAACTGAGATTGACAGCTGGTGCCCACTGGGCATTTAGGGACATTACAAACCATCTGCTTTTTAAATTTGAGGAACCCTCTCACCAAATGAAGTGGCATCATCTTCCAGTTCTACTAATGGACTTCGACATCTTTGACCGCTTGAACCTGCACAAAGGAGGGACACAGCAATTAAAAATAAACAGTGACATTCTCAAACGCCCGTGCTTGCTCTGATTGAGTCTGAGAGCACCAGCAGTGCATGGATTCCTTTATGCTGTTGCCTATGTAAATTGCCATCTGGGGTTGATTATCCATACAGCAAAAAAGAAAAATTATATATGTGTGTTTGGCAAAAAGCTTTGACACAGCAAACAGTTCACTATCCGATTGAGTTAGTAGTATTTGCTCACTAGCGCTTGAAATCCACCTTGAAGAGCATGAACCCAGGATTTCTGCTGCAAAAACATAGTGTTGGCAGAGTCCTGAATGTCCATTAAGATTACTTCAGTGGTCTTTCAATCTCTACAGTCTTCCAGTTTATAAACTGTAACAAGTTATGATATTTTTATTTCTCTTTTATAAAAATTCCTGGAGTTAAATATTAAGGATTTTTTTTTTGTTTTTTGTTTTGCAATACAGATTCATTTTATTTTACTGATAGATCTGGCCCTCGTGATTTGAAAATATTGTGCTGTGTTTAGTGAATGTAGTTTGTGTTTGTGTATTTTGTAGCATTCATTAATTGAAAAAGGAAAGAGTTCTTTACAGTGGGGGGGGGGGGAAGAATCTTTGTCTTCCTTACAGTTGAAAAGAATAATAGAAGCTTTAGAACAGGAACCACATAGAAAGCCAACAAAACAAACGCAAAAGAGACAAAACCTGAGACTTCTGTTCTTATTGATTGTCTTAAAGGAATAAAAATACGTGTGTCAAAAGTAATGTAAAACAAGTAGGATGTAGTTTTCTTTCTGCCCAGTGTTAGAGATTCGAGCATTGGACTGCGCAGTCAAAGGCATGACAGAAGTCCTGGAAGACTGCATAAAACAAATGATCGTATGCTAGTATTCCTTTAAAGAGAAGAGATTTTCAGGTACTGAAAGTGTTCCAGATTAGAAAATAAGAATCACAACAAGAAGCTGTGAAAAATTGTAGAAGAGGTCAAATTGAAGTAAGTGAGGAGTTGGAGGTGCACGTTCACAGTAAATGGGTGTAAGTCAGGGAGGTAGGCTGAAGCCAGTTTGTAGGGATGCTTGCTTAAAAGCAAGAAATCTTGATCAGTTGCTAATATCCTGAAAGTGTTAATCCAGTGTTGTCTCAGCTGTGATTGGCTGCTATAGGTACGTAGCAGTCACAAAGCATGTATGTGGGAACCAGGTGCAAAGACCGCTTTTTTTTTTTATTATTCCTGGGAATTCTAAGTAGCAGAAACTTGTTTTCTATTTTATATTCAAGTTTCCATCTGTTCTGTTTAATGTAGTTGGTGATTAATGTTATTGCAAGTTGATCCGGGCTGCGTGTCATGTGAATGTTAACAGCTTCACTGGAACATATGAAAATAAAGTGTGCTGCCATTTTGTACTGCCTTTTGTCAGAAGTCTGTGAGTGATTTGACAACTAAGGAGCTGAGTTTGCTGGTAAATGATTGGTGCCTATCTGTAGGGGATCATTTGGGGATTTTTGCTGTGTACTGAAGCTGAATAATGTGTCTGGCTTAATAGAATACAAGGTTATTTCTTGTGTTATAAAATTGTGGGCCGCCAGTAATGGACTGTCCTTGGGAGGTGCATCTCAGATGTGCGTCTTTGATGTCAGATTTCTGATCTGCTAGGTGTGGCTGAGCTGTTATCATTAACAGGAAGAGGAATGTTCACGCCGAGTCCAACCTTCACAGTCCCTCATCTTTGCACCATTGCTTACTATTTCTCAAAAGTGGCAAGAATGTTTATGAAGTGCTCCTCTGTAGCTGGAGATCTGTCATCCAGGTGTTTTGGTACTTTGATATACTTTTAAGAGGTCACCTGAGATATCGAGTATGAACAAAATGAGACACTTGTTTCTGTTCTCTAGTCAAATCTTGTGGTAAATGAGTATCAGTTTAAGCCAGTAGTAGATCTTGTCTTGACAAGGGCCTGTTTGCTGTCAGACTGTACTGACTTCATGAACTTGTAAGAAGTATAATTTTCCAAGTGTGATACTTGGAATAGCTTCATATGCTTCTATGATATGAGAAGATCTTTTCAAGCTTCTTTGTTGGCTAAATAACATTGGTCCATTTTCTGGCAGACATTCTGTAGCTTTATGGCTCAACCAACAAAGAAGTTCTCCCGTGTCTGATAAAGAACTCAAACAGCTAAAACACCATAGTTATTCAAAGTCTAACAGATAATTCAGCTTTTTCCTGCATAATTAACCTAACTGAAATCAGTTCTTACTACATCTATATATTAAAGCTCAATGAGCAGAGGTCTTCTGATGTCAATGTATTTAAGGACTTTTTTTTTTTGCAAAAAGAGTTGCACTGTTGAAATCTTGTCAGAGAACACATTTTGGTATTTAAATCTCAGAAAATGAGGTTGGTTCAAAATCCACTGAATTATTTCACAAAGATGCATGTGTGTAGAATTTCATGGTGACATTTTTGGTATTTGTTTACTACTTGCATCTTCTATTCTGCAGCCTTCAAAGCATACCTCATCCAAAGTTCGTGGTATCTTGATTGTCTTTTGTTTACTACTGCAAGTAGGAGCCATTGTTGTGTTTTCTGTTTAATATATGTGACTTCTGTTTCTGTACCTGCTTCTTTTGAGGCTTCTGGGATTTTCCATACTTACACAGTGAGGCCAGAACTGGCCTTTAAGATGCTAGATAAGAAGCCTCACTTACCTTATTTGTGAAATCTCTTCCATTCCCATTCCTAGAGGTTTGTGATAGAAAAATACCTTGTCACTGAATGCAATTAACTAGCTATGTAGCAGTTGTGTCAAATAATATTGCAGAAAGTTAATGAGATCTACTTCAAACTAATTGTTTTATTTCACTGTTCTCGGGACATTCTGGAACAGAGTTTCTCTGATGGTGTGAAATGTCTCAATTTCCACTCTGCTTTTTCCCTTGAAACTTGGTTATAACTTATTTTTGTTCTGTTAAACTTCTCAGCCAACTTTCCTTCTCATTGAAATGCTGTGGGGAAGGGCAGTTCAGAAAAATCTGCAAGTATCTGGGGGGAAAGAATGAAATGTAACTTGTAAAATTGCCTCCTGGTGAGAAGGCAGTTTGTAATACATATTAAAATATGTGGGTAATAAAATATAAGAATCTCAAATCCTAAATCAATAAATTGAACATACACATAGTGTTATACATGCAATTTAATTCAGTACAAGTACTGAACTGTTTCTTTAATTGTCTGGCACTTCTAAAGCATGGATTGTGTTTGTTGGAGATTTTCTCCTTTCCTAGAAAAGATCAGAGTGAATCCTACTGGTTTTGCATCTGCTGCGGCATTTACTTGAAAGCAAAACATGCGGGATTTGGCTTATATTGGAAAGTATTCTTTTGACGTTTAAGGATATTATCAGTTGTTTTGGAAGAATTAAACTCCTCAGCACAGTTCTTTGTGGTTAAGTAAAGGATTAAAGACCTGATCCGGTGCCTGTGGAATAAAATTTAGATCTGGCAATAAAAACTTCTCAAATCTTCTTGGCTTGATCTCTTGAGAGAATAGAAAGAGCAGATGCTGAGCTCTTTTAAAGATCAGTTCCCTCATTTTCAATGTATAGTTTTATAGTGTTTTGCTGTTTATCATTATTTAAACTTAAAAAAAACAAAACAAAACAAAACAAAAAAAACCAGCAAACAAAAGGAAAGGGACAACACCCTAAAAGAAAGGAATGCATTTTAATTGCGAAAGAAAAATTCGTAATGAACCTCAGGCTTTGAAAAGGCTAAAAAAGAGACTTGTATCTTTCTATTCTTTAACTACTCAATAG